GCCCCGATGCTTTATGGAAGCGAAAGTGCATTTCTTTCCAAGGCGCTTGCATCGGCCGCAGCCATCATGAGCGGGACTGCATTTGACCTACGGACATAGATCAAATCTGTCAGTATGAATGTCCTGATCTCTACAATGTATGTGATCCAGAATTTGCATTTGTTACCTTCTTGGCTCTGCATCTATCGCAAACTAAAGTTCTTTCTAGATTTGATGATCCGTGAGGCCTCTCAACAAACTCTACCTCGTTATTATGAGAGTTCCAGTGCAGAGTCCCAAACATAATGTAAAGCCTGCTATTAGATATATTATAGAACTGACTGCATAAGATTATAATGAATAATAATAATAATAATAATAATAATAATAATATATTATAGTCAGGCTATGGTTGCTAGGGTCTCGGGGGTGTGGTCTGACTATTTGCTTTTATATATACATGTATGCTCTGTATCTGGTTTTGTTTTTGAAAACAAGTGCAAGGTTGCATCCAACAGATCCATCAAACAGCTTAGGTTCCTGAAGGTTTGTTTCATAACAAAGCTTATATCAACGGAGCTCATATTTCCGGGCCATGACTAGCTCGTCGACCGCCTCTTGCAGAATCAACCTACCAGCGCTGACGTTGGCCCTCCAGGAATGATGAGCAGTCCCGGATTGTTGACAGATATCCCCACCCTTCCCTTGGGGTTAGAATCCATGCTGCACTGGTCGGGGACGCTGAGCCACAGAAATGGTATTGACAGGTGCTTGTCCTCCGTACTGTGGGTCGCATTCACCGTACCTCAAATAGAGTGTTAGCTACGGCACAACATTGTCAGGAAATGGACGATGAAGCGGAGGGAAATTGGGTACAAAACGAACCAAACCAATCCCGAATTTGGCAGCTTGCTTTGCTGATGGCAGCCCGACAAAACATGTATCAACTGGTGCTCTAGCTCAAATTGAGGTCTTCAAATCACTCTGTGGCTTAAGGGTATCATCGGGTGGGTTCGGTAGGATAGATAAGACCCCTGGAGCCCAGAGCGGTTAAAAAGACATGCGACAGTTTTATAAATAGCAAGGAATCAGTGTGAAGCCAGATCCATTTGGCAATCGTTTAAAGTGTGTGAGCAGGGGGGTGGCAAATGTAGGATGTCAAAACGAGGTTAACCGCTTTGGCCAGAGCAATATCACCCCTCTGTGTTGCTTTGTGAACTTGTCATCCAACACAAGGCTAGAACCTCAAGCACATGGATCCTTTTCCGGACTTGGCACAATCATTTATTGGAAAATTTACACGAGGAGCGCGATTTTTGCTTGCCAGCGAGGGCTGTCGCTCACCCTGCCTTTACCCTGCTCTACACTTCACGCCCGCCTTCAGCCCTAGGCTTCAGAAAAGCCTGTCGCCAATCCAGATCAAAGCCGCTCGCCCTCAACCCAAATGCAGCCCCAGTGCCAAAAGCGGATTTTCGCTGAATGCAGACCTCCCTATGGCGCTTAGAGGTTATTTGGGTGGGGGGGTTCTTATATTACGACCATTTAACTATTGCTGGGGGCACAGGAATTATTGGCCAAAAGCTTCTCACAGCGGTCAAGTAATAGCCGCGAGTCTGTCCAGTAATCCTTGGAGTTTCAATGCCTTGCAACCGCAAATAGAGCATACCACGACGGCTGTACTTTATTACATGGCACCAGGGCTTTGTATGGATGTGAAATGTAAGTTGGTTGGTATTATACTGAGGTGGCGCTGTAGGCACCAGTGTCTCTATTCTACTTGGGCACAATATCTTGAATGCTGAGTGTAAGTGTGCTACAAACAGATTATCTTATATCCTCAGAAGCTTTGAAAGCTCTCGGTATCAGTGAAAGAGTGGTAGATTTAACTAGGTGTGTTCATTTTCTATATATTTGAAGCATTGATTGCTGCAGTTGCTATATGCCCACTGTTCACAGCAGAAAAGATCTCTCGATACCTAGCCAGAATCAGCTCTCTTCTACCATAAACAGAAGCTGTGTGTTCTTCTTATGAAATCATCAGCATGTCTTGCGTCCTTGATCCTGCATGCTTTTGTCATAATCAGAAGTTGCAAGAATCTCTGTGAGGCTCTTTCTGAGCTACAGATGAGCCTCTTGCCCACCAGCAAGTAGCCTGTAAGATGTTCAATCGGAGGCAACAACAGACACAAGCATCGGGATATCACTCATCAGGAGCACTAGCAAGTTAGAGACAATGGATAGCTTGATGTGTTGTATTGCTTTTGATATCTTGATGAACAAGCAAAGTGTGTTCTGCTTCAGAGATACGGCCCTTGAGCTGCTCTCACGTTCACTAGTCATTTAATCATCTTCCGCCACATCATCTCCGTATCGAGACTGATGATGTAGCTGTAGGTATTCCACTTACCGCCGGGCGCAATGCTGGCGTCAACAGCTGAAGGGTAAATGGGATGGGGTAAACCATTATAGCCCATAGGTACTTCCACAGCCAGGTGCTCTAGAGGACACAGATCCTCATTCTCCGCAGGGGCTTGCAATGGAGCCTGACCAGAGACCTGGGTTTGGCTTACTAGGTCTCTCAATGGATGGAGGGAGATCAGAGAAGTATATGGTGCTTCACTGGTTCCAGTTCTCACTTCTGTAAATGTCTCTATCTGTAGTGGGCTAGATGTTTCACTCCATCTACATTGTCCAAAGTGATCACAATTGACTGGCCTGGCAGGATTGAAAGGGTGATGTCAATGATATAATAAGGACAACACATTATAGACAAAAGAAAGGAGAGGAAGGAAACTCAGCCATACCTGTCACATACTTGATTTCATGCTATTTGCCGCCGCAGGGAGCGGGCTTGACTTGGTGTCACAGCTTTCGCACATGGGAGAAGAGTCATGATTGCTGGTGAGATAGTCTACAGCCAAGATGACAGAGCATGTCATGAACTGATCAAGACATTGTAGATGTTGATCTCTCATCTGTCTTGAGGCTTGGCTCTGTGCTTGCTTCATGCACGGAAAGACTGATGGCGGTGAAAGCCACAGCCTCAATATCCTGAAGTGCCTGATTGAAGTGAAACGCATGAAGACTCTCTGCAATGGACAATCCCAACTCTGGTTCTGATTCATCTTCATGTTCATGTTGCAGTTCGCTGGTACTCTTGAAGCACATCTGTGAAATTGCACATGTAGTGGATGGTTTGAACATAATGGGTGTTGGAGGTGATGCTGGGCCTGCAATCGCCTGGATAGGAGTTTCTGGGGTAGGGCTGATAGGAGGAAAGCTGGTGGTGGTCCAGAAGTATGTGTGGGAGTGGAAGCAGCAGAAGTGAAATAATCATGGTAGGCAATGTAGGTTGAGAGAGACTTGGAGGAGAGAGGGACAGGAAGAAGAGCGATGTGTGTTCCTTGAGATAACTTTTTGCCGGGATTGAATGAAGACCTTGACAACCCGGGGGTTTGGTGTAATATTATATCATCCAGATTGACTGTCATTACCAATTGGTACCCTGGGGCCATCTGTTTATGCTTCCTGAGCGATCAGAGGATATACAGATTATCGAAAGGGCACGAGGCTGTAGGGGTTGCTGATCCCTCTTGATCGCTGCAGCACATCCCCATAGTGATCCCCAGAGATAACATTCTGTAGAATCATGATGGCCAGGCCCACGTCATCTCGCTCGTGTATTCAGCTCCACACGGCTGATTGTTATATGCAACCCAATCTTTACCCTTGGCTCGTTGCGTTGCAGATTAATCTGCGGGTCTCACAACGTCTCACCAGGTGGTTCTGCTTCCATTTCCAAACAGGACAAAGAGACAAGACTGGACTACCAGTGACAGCTGGAAGGGGGCCTGGAGGTTGGACAAATGAACCCAATCCAGCATTCTGCTTTGAACAGCAGCATAAGACAGCTGGAAATTATCTCTTGGCCAGATAGAATTGCATATTTCTTGTCATTGTACACCACCGAAGATCAATCTATTGAAGTTCATGTTCAGAGTCCCCAAACATGAGGCATTTGTGTCATTAATCAGAAGCAAAGCAAGCAGCATTGATTTCAATTCCACATCAGCTTAAGTGTGCTAGCTCAAGTGCTAGAAAAGGAAAGAAGATCCAGCATCAAAATGATGCAGTGACCACAGAGACAGAGAAGAGAGGATATAGTTGGATCGAAGCCTAGATGGTAATAGACAGTCACAGCAAAAAGTATAAAGAGTTGAAGAGTATGAGAGAGAAAAGGGAGGGGGGAAAAAAGAGAGAGAGAGACAGAGGAAGAGGAAGATGGATGCGGAGCACACTGATCTTAGATGCATGATGAATGAAGGCAAAGGAAAGGCCAGGAGAAGGCAGCTAACAGTGTGAGGGAAGTGAGGACTAGATTGAAATGGAAAAGAGGAAATGCTTGCAACACAGGCAATTGAAGGAGGTGTTATATAACTTGAAGGGCGACACGGTCATGGCATTGCCAGCAAGTGAAGACTTCCAAAGTGATAAACACAGGACTGAGAGAACGGCGCGAGACTATTTGCAGCGAGGCGCCATGCCAGATGGGGCATAGCGGGCTTGATGAAGAACTCCCACTGGAAAGATTACAAAAGAAGTAATGATCAGAAACATACTCCGTATAGGGAGTATTAAATATATTGCGTATCTTCTCTTCTTCCACAAGGCATACTCCACACGGGGTAAGCTACATTAGCTAGCTAGCTAAAAGCTCTCACTCATACTTTTCTAGTAGCCATATAAAGCAAACAAGCAAACAAGCAAACAATTTCTTTTTCTTTTTTTTTTTTTGGAAAAGAAAATATAAAGAAAAAAGAAAAAGAAAAAAAGAAAAAAAATTATTAATCATGGATCATTTCAATCATTCTTCTAAGGATTCATTCCCTTTTTCCATCCCCCTTCTCCCGCTTCTGTCCTTTCCGTAGGTAGTTTAGGGGAAAAAAAAAAAAAAAAAAAAAGGGAAAAAGAACAAGAAAGGAAGGAAAAACAGAATCCCATGAAGGAAGCTTATTTCTCCATTTTGTCTCCCGTGTATCGTTGAGAATATAGAAAAAAATGGGCAGGGAAAAGAAAAGGTGAAAGAAAAGCAAGAACGCCGTTTCTTGATTGCGAGATACCACAATAAAAAAGGAAAGGAAAGAAAATAAAATAAAATAGAAAACGAAATAAATAAACCCGACCGTTGATATGAACTCCCAGATGTTTTCATTCCTCTTGTTCCTCGGTCTTTCTGTGCCTAGGGCACGTTGAGAAGACGAGTGCTTCGACCCGAATCCCAGTAAAGGCCAGTGGAGTGGGAAAGAGATGCAAAATAAGAAATGATATGATCAGAGGATTGCGGGGTTACAGTGTGAAGGAGGTAATACATAGATGAATAGGTGGCCTGAGAACTTGAGAATGAAGGGAACAACCTAATCAGCTCTATTACTCCATTGGAGCACCGTAAAAGCGCTTCAGCAAGTTAGAAACCTCCTTATATTCTTGCTTCACATCGGTAAGAACCCTGCTAGCTTTTGCTAGACACTTCGCTTGGTCGGGCTCAAACCGAGTACCGGACTCGTCCTTTTGGGCACCAAAGTGTTGGATCTTCTCGCACGATTCTTTAACCTTGTTGAGTCCAAGGGTGGCTGAGGAGCCTTTTAGAAAATGTCCCAATTGGGAGACTTCTTCGAGGTTTTTGGAGTTGCTAAATAAGCAAAACTTCCGTCAGCAAATCAAATTCAGCGGGGAAAGAAAAAGGAGGGGAAGGGAAAAAAAAGACAGGAAGAGGGGAAGCTCGTCGGATAATCGTAGGGTTTGATTGCCCAAGTCGTGGTGGGTGTATAAGGGATTGTCGGAACTTTTGAGAGAGTGTCACGAGGTATTGCGATGACGTCATACGGTGCGCTACTCACATTGCCTGTTCTATATTGTCAAAAGTGGCCTCCGCCTGCTCGAAAAAGCCATAGACGATGCCTTTGCTGAATTCTCGCTCTTCCTCGTCGTCGTCCATTTCCAAAATCTGTTCAAATGTTACACGGTCGATCAGCTCGTTTTTGAATAAAATATCAGTTTCGCCGGTCTATGGAGTAGGACAGCAGGTCAGCTCTCCAAATCCCGCATCAATGAGAGAGGATGGAATGATCTTGGGCAGGGGCATGATACCGAGTTTTCCTCAGCCGGGGTTGCTGGAGGCGCCATTTTGGATGATGAAGGGTCGGAGTGGGAGGAGGAGTATGAGGAATGCACCAAGGATGGCATTGATTATGGTGATGTCGGGTTTCTTGCTTGAAGTCGATGAGCTTCCCTCCGATGCGCCTTAGCAATGTGGGCCTTTCCTTCGCCGCACTTTCCAATATGTAGTAGAAATGAAGAAGCAAGCCAGTGCAGCGAAGCGTGTCTTGCCAGAGTTTATCACCGTCGTATGCAAGTCAAAAACCGCGGGGAAGAAAGGTGAGCGGGGTCTAATATGGTGGACTGGAGGCTGCGCCAAACGTAAGGAAATAGTTCTAGTGAGATTCACTCCTTGTAATGAAGTTAGCCAAATAATCTCATAAGTATTGTGGCAAACCAGAGAGTTTGAAAATAAAAGATCTAGAAGCACGGTGGGGTTGGAAATGCCATTGCTCCCTATGTTAACAGGGCTTTGCCACGCTACAGTTCAAGCCTTGCCCTACGCTTTTTTTTTAATACATTCCTCTCCTTTTTCTTTTTCTTTTTCTTCTCCTTCTTCCTTTTTCTTTTCTTTTTTTTTTAGACGTGCCGTAATGGCCCTCGTGGGTCGACACAGCAAGATTCGGAGAGTGAGTGGCAGGCTTTGCCGATGAAACAGGGTGTGATAGTGATAACAGCGTAGCAAAGCAAGGAAGGCTGCGGGACCCGGGGTACTTTGGTAGAACACAATAAAAATGCAAGTCTGTACTGTAGGAAAGAGGCACACGAGCAACAAGACGCCCTACTCACCCCTCGGTTGATTTCAACTTTGGTATCGCAAGCCGGAGTGATTTTGACTTCGGAAATGCCGAGGCCAATCAAGCACGTCTAAGCCAAGCGGAAAACGTCAGGTTAAGCTCAGGGGGTAATTAAGGAGTAAGAGAGAGAGAGAGAGAGAGAAAGAAAATGGGAGGGGAGGAATGGATGGAGTGAGGCAGCGCTGAGAGACAAGGTTAAGAGGGAGGCGGCGGTAGTGGTGGTTTGTGGTGGTGGGATTTTCTAATGGCGCAGCGGCGGGGGGAGCCAAAATGAGGTAATCAGGTAACTAACAAGTTGACAGCAACAAGGGTAGCACACAAACAGAACCAAGCACAAGGGAGGAAAATGGATATCTCCTGTTCATTCAACAACAAAATGCAGTGAAAGGGGGGAAAAAACCAAAAATGCATGCAGTGGTCAAGTCGAGGCTGGCTTGAGGTGGTAGGCCCCACAGACAACAAAGTGCTCCTCTCGGAGCTGCGAAAATAGTGATAGAACTGTAGATGTGGGTTTGATGGAATGGGAGGGGAGGGGGGAAAAAAAAAAATGTTAGTGTTAAAGTGTTTTAACATCGCCCGAGATTTGGCTCTTAGGTTTAAAAGGTACACTCTGTTGCTGAAAAAAGCGTTATTTTATGAACTGCTTACCTTCACCTTTGAGGATTTCACTCTGAACAAGCAGAGAATCCAAGTGATACCACAAGAGATATGTTCTTTTTGGCTAATCAGAAGCAGGAAACAATGAAGGAAAGCTTAACAGAATTCTCAAGAGAAGGGCCGAATTCTTTCGGCTGTGTGATTCAGCGGAATGGGAGCTTTTGAGGACCGAGAGACAAACAAGCTGATAGAAAGCAGGGTGAAGGAGGAAAGACAGAGGAGAATCTTCGGTGCAAGGATGCGAATCACGTTGTGGAGGAGACCGAGGAGGATGTGGGGGGAGAGGAGTGATGAGGAATAAGGAAAAGTGAACTGGACAGACGGGCGCAGAGGGAGAGGGAGAGAGGAAGACAGCGCGTGAGGGAGGGAGGCCAAAGAGGCAGCGGACCAGTCGAGTGTCAAGCTAAATAATTTTAACTCTACAGGAGTGAATAGCAGCGCTGTAGTGGATAATCAGCAGCGGAAAAGACTGCTGTTGCTGCTGCGTCTCTGCTCGTCTCCCCTCGAGGGGCCTGCACACAAAATGAAAATCATTAATCTATCAGTCTTGCTGTTGAGTTACATAGCACATGCTCCGAACTGCCACAACCCTGCTTGCCGATGCCAACTAATCCTTTCTCTTCCTCCCCCCTCTTCCCTTTTTTTTTTTTTTTTTTTTTCCCTCCTCTCTCTTTTCGGGCTCATCATTACAGCGTCCTATTTTCCCCCTACTTCTTTTTGGCATAGGGTCGAAGAGAGCTTTGTATCCATTCTTCCCTCCCTTTTCTCAGCGACGTGCCACTGGGGTTGACGTGGAAATGCGGTCTCTGCATCTGATCCTTGCGTCTGGCCTATTGACTTTTCCCCTTTATCCTCTATGCCGCTGAGAGCGTCTTGTCCTTCAAGGGAGGTGGGCTTCCCTGTTACTCTGTACGGTCCGTCATTTGACCGCTTCTTTTTCTACCTGCCTCAAGAAGGGGCTGCACCCTGCGTTGCAGGATGGGTGAGACCGAGCAGCCTCCCCGGCGAACCGCTGTGATCGTCTCTCCTGGAGCATGCAAGGAGGGCTGTCACACTAACTATGTATGTATTTCTTATTTATACCCGCACGCGTGCTCTGGACAAATTAGCCGCCCGCCTTTTTGCCGTCGAAGCATCTGCTTCCGGCCTCCTAAGATTCCGTATCGCTGGGGAGACTCTAAGACCGAGCGAGCGCACAGTGGGCCGGGTCTTGTCCAACTGACGTAATGGGAAACGCCAGGGCCAGACTCCCACAGTAGCCCTGCTTCACAGCGCTCACACCGAACCCCGTCCTGGTTCCTTTTTCTTTTTTTCCCCCTCTCCCTTGTCCCTTTTTCTACTTCCCGGAGAGGGATGAAATCCAGCATGTTGGGTTCGCCTCTCTCCCGCCGGCCTGTCAGAGGCTTGCAGGGGTCTCGTCCATAGGAAAAAAAACAAAAAAAAAAAAAAAGACAAAAAGGCGCCGGAGGAGCGTGTCGTTAATATCCACCTTGAGAAAGTAAAATCAAAAAAGAAGGGAAAAAGAAAAAGAAAGAGAGTGAGGGAAAAGACAAAAAAAAAAAAATCAAATATTGACTTTCGTCAGATCGTCTACCCCAGCAATGGTGTATCGTCGGAGGGGGGTCTCGGCCTTCCCCCGTTGGCTGGGAGGGCGACGTTTCCGTGGGCGAGCAACTGTCCGAGCAGAGGGAAAAAAAGAAAGTTCACCCGTTTCACGCGCTGCTGCTGTTCCTGCAAGATGACGATGTCACGATGAAACCCACCAGCCACCAATCACTCTCCCTCCGCATAACTCCACCCCAACTCCGCAGGTACTTGGTCGTACTCACGACGGCTGGAGTGACTTGACTCGCTGTGACGAAGCTGCATAGAGTTCCTTCTGCATCGAGTTCCTTCTGCATCTACCCCCTTTCCTTTTCTTTTTTTTTTTTTTTTTTTGGTGGCTTCTGCTGCTGCTGCTACTTCCTCTTCTTACCCAATCTGTGGCTCAACTAACCCCTCGGCTACCCGATCCGGCCACCCTTGACGACCGGGGAGGGAAAGAGCTCCCCCGCCCGCGTTTCCCTCCCCAAAACACCCCCGATGATGTCACTGGTGGATACCGTCACAGGCGTACTGCAGATACGCTGTGGAGCTGCCATTGTTACCAGATTCCGAGAACTGGGCCAATCAGCGCCCACAGCCCTCGTGCCATGTCTCGCTGGCCTGTGGGTTCCGGACGTACCAGAGGCGTAAGTGTGTCTTTTACCGTTATCGAGCCGCCCGAAAACTAGCCGGTTCGGGCTGCCCAATTAGACCGCGGCCCTCTCCTATCTTTTTCTTTTTTTTTTTCGCTCATCGTCGGCGCAGGTCTTGCTGCCGTTGTCAAATGGTGCTGCTCTCTGTTGCTGCTGTTGTTGTTGTTGTTGACCTGGCTGCAGCAAGCGGGCGGTCTCAGCTTGAACCTGCAGACGCCTCCGGTCACAGGTTGACTTGGTCGTCCCGGTTGGTTGGCCAGAGCTATGTATCTGTTTCCTTCCCCGGAATCTGATCACAGCAAGGACCGGCCTTCCCCCGCTGGCTAAAGTCGCACCATCGGGGCGACCGGCCACCAGCAGATGTGCTGCAAAGAGCACTGCACTGGACAGACTGCAGGCAATGGAATCCCTCAAACAAGGCAAATGAGTTGCAAATGCCGTTCTTCACTCAGGATGCTCGCGTCCTGTGCACAATGGATATCCTCTGCTCCTTCTAGGAAATATACATTCCGTACATATATATTTTATATATGATACTTTTGTTCACGTGTGAGAAAAGTGACTGATCCGCTCATACTCTCCCGTGTTGCAAATGAACTTGAGATTCTACGTCCAGTCACGAGCTTTCCTTCCCACATTCCCTTCCTACCGTCTTAACCTCCCAATCTTCCCTCTGGCTTCCTTTGACAGGCAACTGAGCACATCCAGGTGGACCTCGGGTTCTGTTTTGAACGAAATCATACATCCAGACAACCCCAGTGGGACGTAGGCCACCACAGATCAATCTGGAAGTAACGTTGCCAGCTTCTTCCAGTACCAGAGAAGTACTTCGATCTCTTCTCCCTTCTCATCTTTCAGCTCAGCTCCTCCTGGACAACAGGACAAGCCAGCCGACGACGGATGTTGTGGGAAGAGTTAAAGCGACGGTGAGAGATTGTGAGGTTTTTTTTAAAAAAAAAGAAAAAAAAAATAATAATAACAAATGTCTCGCAGTTCCTCAATCGACGATAGACAAGCAAGGAGATATCTCTACTTCCGGTTCGTTGTAGCATACTTACAAAACAAGTCAAAAAGGGAAACCTACCCTTGACCAACGAGGTTAGACTCTAGACGAAGCATAACGTCTGGACAGGCCCTAGATATCTTGGAGAATCCACGCTTCAGGCGCTGGTTGGGAGGATGTTCGGGAGCGAACTTTCTGGTGAGTTGATTTCGACGGGATGTTCAAAGGGAGGAGAAGAAGGACGAAGAGAGAAGAGAATGGTTAAAGGCGTACAGAAGGGACGGGCACATACGTATCCGGATCTGACTGTGAATTGATGCCAAGCACGAGGATGGCTGTGAAGTGGAGTAGCATTTGTTCCTGACGCCCTTCCTACATATATGTTTTTGCTCTCATTGAAGGCTGGGCATGTGTTTTGGAGTCTCCCAGCCTGCCGATACACTGGTTTCCTGAATAGGCAGGTGGGTTGCCCGGACGGTATAACAAGTTCTACGCCATTCACCGCTTATCTACACCCTCATTCTACGTATATACAGGGGGAAAGCAGGCATCGTATCACATTTTGCGGTTTTATTTTCTCTTTACGACACTTATAATTTACCGAGACTCGAGGCTCCCTTTTGTGTAGTAACTTTTGGAGGGGTAATACCTTCTACCGAGAAGAAGATGGAAGACGAAAAAAAAAAAAAAAAGGAAAAAGATCCCAAGAGAAAATGTCTCTCTAAATTCGCACTCTTCGGAAGGCCGTCGCCTCACCAGGGCTGTTTCGTAACCGTTCCTCGTATCATCATCCAAAGTACTTTAAAATTATAACAACAAAAAGAAATTAATATCGGGGGCCGACCGAAAGAGAGTGTACGAGAGAGCAAAGGGGAAACAAAAGTGGCCGAAAGGAAGAAAAGGGGGTTGATGGTATAAGAGTGGCGGGGCGACCGGGGGTAAACACGAAGGAGAAGAGTAAGTAAAATTTTTAAAACCAAAAGCAGAACGCCCTACTCTATGCCTCTGTGTACTCCTTCTCCTTGGCTGCGAACTGCGCCTTCTCGTCGGCAGTGAGGTCCAGGAGGGGGTGGTCCTCGCCGGACTTGAGGTTTCTGTGGTATGCACGAATAATGCTGTCCGCATCGTCGATGGCGATAGGCCTGATGTCGGCGAGCGCCTTGATCTTGGCCGTGCACTCCTTGTACTGTGCGTCGGTCATCTCGAGGTTGAGTTGTTGAGCACGTGACTTGATGGCATTCCAGCCGGTGAGCCGGGAGGCGAAATGCACGTATCTCGTCATGCCGAAGTCGGCCGGGTTGATGATCTCATATGTGCTAGGGTTGTTCAGGATGGCCTTGGCATGGATACCGGCCTTGTGGGTGAAGGCGCAGAAGCCGGTGATGTAGTTGTTGAAAGGAATGTTGATCTCGACAGCTTCGGCGACGAGGTCCTCGATGTCCTTGAGCTTGTGGAGCTTGTACTTGCTCATCACGTAGTCGCGATCAACGGCGATCATGCGGGCCATGAGACCTCCGAGAGGGGTGATACCATTGCGTTCACCGATGCCGAGAACAGAGGTGTCAACGTGGGTGGCACCACCTTCCAAGGCACAGTAGGCGTTGGCAATCGCACATCCGGTGTCATTGTGCAGGTGGATTTCGATGTCGCACTTGACGACGCCACGCAGGACACGGACGAGCTCGTAGACTTGGCGAGGGGAGGCGCAGCCAACGGTATCTGCAATACCAACTCGATTGACACCGACTTGGTCCACGGCTGAGTACAGAGAGAGAAGCTCTACCAAATCAGATCTGAAAGAGTCTTCGCTGGAGAATCTGACCTCAATGCCCTTGGACTTGACGAATTCGATGACCTCAATCGCAGTGTTCTTGATGTATGTCATATCCTTTCCGTGGGAATGCTCGCGGAGGTAGGACGACGTGCCGATAACGACATCACTATTGAATATGTCAATGGCCTGCAAACACACGGCACAATTACACACATGCAGCAAGAGAGGCTTACACTCCATCGACACCGGTTTCCACCGCGACTCGGGCATCGTCCATGTGACATCTGATATGTGTGAGAATCTACAGCGGCAAAATAAAGAGGTCAGCTTAGTTGTCCCTCGGCCTGTCACAGCGTTAAGCACGTGGAGGCACCGACCTTAGCCTTCAATCCAAGCTTGCAGATAGCTTCACAATCCTTCCTCGATTGTTCCGAAGCGCACGGACTCGTGAGTTCAATCTACCCGACAACCATGTCAGCTTTCTTTGTTTAATTTTCTCGTCATTTTTTTATTTTTTATTTTTTTATTTTTTTTTTCCCCTCCGATGTCTGACGATAAACAAATTAGGCCAAGGGTCCCCAAGGTAAGTATGACTCACATAGTCAACGCCAAAGTCGTCCAGTGCCTTGGCGATCTCAATCTTCTTCTGGGTATCAAAGAACGCATTGGCGAACTGTTCGCCCTCTCGTAGAGTACTCTCGATGATCTTAAACCTCGAGACGTTGCTGAGGAAGTCTGTGACTCCGGCATTGTGGCCGTATGGATTTCTGGCAGTGTGTGGGTGTGGGTTCTCTCGGGCAGGAATGGCTGTGTAACCTGGGTGATTGGGGAGACCTGTCCCTGGAGGCAGGGAGTGTGTCAGTAGAGCAAATTTCAAATAAGTATCTGAGGGCTGCAAGAAATAGACACCAGACTCACCGTTGACACCATTCACGCCATTGGCGTGGCCGTTGGTTGCGGACATTGTGAAGGCGGGGTATGAGCTCGAGGCAGAGTGGTGGGATAAGAGAAAGGAACTGAGCTTCAAAGAGGAAGAGAAAGGATCAGAGAGATATGTGAAAGCAAAAGTGACAGTGAGTCAGAGTAAATAGATGAAGCGCAATTGGCATAGAGAAGAAAAGAACTTTTTTTTGAAGGTAGTGAGAGCGGAGCGGAAGAGAAAGGAGATCCCAAGCCAGAAAATTATGACTCTTTCACTTTGACTTTTTTTCTGGTTTATTTTTTTATTTTTTTTTATTTTTTGACTGATATCGAACTCGACCAAGGCTCGGCGCGGAACATTTCACGGCAAAAACTAAGACAGGCTAAAAATACACCAAGTTTAACTGGCAGCCAGCCACTCGGACCTCACCGCTTTTGTAATCAGCGGTATCGTTACGGGTTTGCCGCGGAGAGACAGGGGGGGCAAAGCGGTTTACGGAGTACTGTACTCCGTAATTCCCCAAACCCAACTCGCGGAAAAATACGTACAGGGATTGTCATGTAACTAACCTATTATCTTATCTTCGAGCTGCCTCGACATGCAAAGCGTCTGCATCGTTGCACTGCATCTTGTGAAGAGAGGTCAATTGGCCTTGAAAGAGAGTGGCTTCCCCGTCTCGTTTAAAAGAAGAGATCCAGGGAAGATGAAATGCCACGTTACGCCCCAGCCGCAAAGAAAACAGAAACCTGTTCTGCTTGGTATCGAATTTGAAATAATAAAAAAAAAAAAAAAAAAAAGGGAGCGACAGGACAAGCTTCTTGCAGCCGATTACGGAGCAAACAGAGGAAAAGCCAAACCCACAATCCTGGCTACCAAGAACGCTATTTCCCACCCAAACCCGCCCGAGCACGAATATTTTGGCTTTGCTTCCCTTCCTCCCCCCCACACACACACACACACCAGACATATTAGCTCCCGGCCCCCCTGGATCGCTTCGTTGGCAGACTAAGCCACAAATGACTGAGACGTGAAACCAAATGGAAAGTCGACGCAGAACATACATAAACTTGTAAAAGGGATTGACCGAATTCGACGTTGATTCTAGTACTTGCCTGTTCCTGCAGGGTCTTGCGGTGGACGAGAAACATTTGGCTCTACCCCACCGGAGACGAAGCCCATGTGTGGTGTGCTGGCTCGTCGTTCGTTTTGCGTAAGGACCTGCTTAGGCAAATGCGCCGACGATGGACATTCCGGCCGCTTTGTTGAAAGAGGTGTCAGTACTCCTCCGCTTAAATGTAACGGCAATGTCTCATTAAGCTTACCTCCCATCAAGACATAGATGAAACCGGAGATCTTCTGTTTCTTGGTCAGATGCTGGGCCTCCTCAGATAGGAAATCTTCCGCTAGAAGGTCCACGAGGGCGGCGTAGATAAGGAGACCAGAAGAGCTGGTTTCAATCAGTATATGGCTTTTCAAAATATTTCCTCCAAAATATTCCCTCCTCTCTCTCACTCTCTCTCTGTGTGCGCGAGAGAGAGAGAGAGAGTCAGGTGGGAAAACAAGGTCTTACATCGCATTGAATGTTCCAACCATAATCAAACCGAACGCGCTCTCGGCATCATAAGTGTTGCGAGCAATCAACCCAATCGCCTGGCCAATCGGAGCCGTCGTGCCGAATGCCAGAACCAAAAGCCATGGACGCATTGATCCCTTTGGATAAGGTACTGCCGCAATGCGAGACCCCAGACCCAGCCCCTCAAACGCCTGATGGAACAAGATGGCGACGAGCAACACCATAAATCCTTCCGTTTCAATGGATACAGTCATCCCGACAAACACGGAGTGGAACAGGATACCGCCTTCGAGAATCGTGATGTTGAGAGACATTTTCCTCAGCACCGCCGGGTCGACTTCCCCTACTTCTAGGTCCCGAGGGATATCAGATTGCACAGGGGCGGTCTGTTTGAGCTCTATGGTTTGCATGTCATCATCGCGGCGCGCTGCTGTCCGGAGCATCGCTTGTGTCCACTCGCGCTCTCGCACGTATTGTTCATAGAAGACCATAAACCACGTTGGCATCGAAGACGGTTCGGACAAGTACGAGTCTTCAAAGCGGTTTGCACCGGAGTAGACCCTAAGAAAGAATCAATTAGCAAGCAGAAATCTCACCCGCATTTTCTTGCCAGGCCTAGTAGTCGACTGGGAACGAACTTATAGGCCGCTTTCTCCTCGTACCAGTCATCGGATGATGCATCGCTCATAACCTTGTTCTCTTTTGGCCACGAAATTTCATTGTTCCTGGTCTGCGCATTGTGATGGTGCTGGTGCGGACGGTTGATACTCTCCCCTGTGGCTCCGCCATGGCTGTGGCCCCCGGTTTTCGCGTTTAAATACATCTCTAAAGCGAAAAGCGCAAAGAGCGACCCGAGCATGATTACGCCCGGCATCGCGGGGTATTGCTCGGTAAAGAGAGGCGGTAGGCATGGATCATTCAAGGAAGTGAATGCAGTTGGGAGGAGCTATTTAGCCGTTAGAAGCGGAGCATCCAAACAATCGCGTCGCTGGAGAGAATGTACATGTACAAAAGCCGTTGCGATCAAGACACCTGTGCCGAAATGCTTACAGAAAAAGAAAGCATTCGGCGGGATCTGTAGACGCGGAATCTTTTTGGCCACGACTGGGAAACCGGCGCCTGGAAGAAAGAAAGTGCGTGAGCTCAGATGCTCATCGGCGACGTCTTCTTTAGGTTCTTGCTCATACCCATAGTACTAAACGCCAGGACGAGGACTTTATTCCATGTTAGATAACTCGTCCATGATGCTGGTGCAAATGAGTGGGGATGGGCATACACAGTGCGGCGACGTGCAATGGGAGATCATACTCCGCATCGTTCCCTTTCGCGCCGCCACATTGGGGTCGAGACATGTCCTCCATGATGATTGTCCTTCCGCGTCCTGACTGCGCAAAGATACAAAATTACCGCCCAGCGGTAAGAATCATAATCAGAAATGAACGATGAATGGAAGCAAGGAATAAAAACGGGCTTGCATTGACCAGCAATGTGCACGTATGAGAAGAAAATAAAATAATAATAATAAAAAAAAAAGAGGTCAGGATGGCCCAGTCAAAACATTATTGAGTGAAAGATGAAATGGACAAGAAGTTCCAAGACCTGCATGATATGTCACTGGAATTTGGATTTTAGCTTCCAGTCCGCGGAAAGACTGCAGGCTGGGATTTGTTAAAGCTCGCCGATCAGGTGCAAAAATTAACTACCAATCGGTTGTTGCAACAAAGGTGTTTTGATAGGGGGCCTAATCCATTCCCCGTCCGATCAGATAACTATCTGATAGTGAAGAAAAGGGGCGCTAAGCAGCCCCGAACAGACAAACCCGGTGCTCTAGCCCGAACTGCAGTCTCCTCTCAGTCTCGTAGATTTAGAGCTCCAGTGAACAAGCACGTCGGAGCCGTCACGAAGATCCGCTTAGTTTAAACCTTCTGCGAGCGGAGTTTCGGCTAGAATCTGTCGCTGGAATAGGCAGTGCTCTGACCAGAGAATCGAAGACGTAACTTCCAGCGGTTTATCCAGTGTCTGGGGACGGCATTCTTGGACTCTCCCATCATGGCAATGACCGGCAGGGCGCTTGATGCCAAGAGCTGGAGTATTTGGGGATTCCCATGCCAGGAGATCTCAAGCTCAGAACTTTAGCTGTAGTGAGACACCACCAAGTCAAGCCAAAACAAGCAGCACCAAGCACAGCCCAGTCATGGGTGTGCATCAGGAGCGCAAAGTCTTTTTCATCAGTCAAGTGTTCCCCAGAGAAGACGATGGTGGATTTTAAGGTCTCTTGTCTTGCACGCGGCTTGGAGCCGTCGATCTTGGCATGCGGTTATGCGACAAGACAAGTTTGGGACTGCGCGGCAGACGTCTTGGCGGCCATCGCTCACGGTTACAGATCGTACCCGCGACGGTGCTCGACCATTGAGCGTTTCAGGCGGAGTTACGGCGAGAAGAGGCAAAAAGGAAAAAAATGTCGTCCCGGGGTTGCAAAGCGATGAACACTGCCTCAATGGTGTTCGTGACGTAGCTGCTGCCGCTAGAAAAGAACGGGCATCTGATGCAGCTTATAACGGCTCTCTTCTCTCGTCGTCGGCTTGCATCGACCTTACCTTATCCTCATGAGGGGGATTGTTTGCCATCTAGATTTCAGATCTTTTGCTGCAGCTCTGCATGAAGCACCGATCTTACTGTTTTGTGACACCCGCCAAGCCCCTTAAATACCTTCCTCTTCCACTGAAGGATCGGTCATGGCGACAACTCCTGAGGGCCAAAACATAGATCGAGATGTCGTTATGCGCGATGCCTCCGAGAACGTTCCACGTTTGAATCAACCAGTCCCCGGTGACGATGCAATCCTCGCAATCAACGCCCCTTTCAACGCGTCAGCTCCCAAAGTCGACCACGAAGACCCTCTCGGACTTAGCCAGCTCAAGAAGGCCGACCTATCCTCAATCAAGGTAGACTACCCGGGGGGGAATCAGAGGAAGATCAAGGCGTACTACACCAAGCAGAACGCACTCATTGATCAGTTCCTCCAGAGCAAGGATGAAGAGGCCCTAGCTGTCCAAGACTTTCAGAGGAACGGGGGCAAAGTTAAATGGGCCGTGAACCTGAGTTTCATGGTCAACTTCTGTTTGTTCATCATTCAGCTGTATGCCGCGATCTCGACTGGATCCCTATCGCTGTTTGCAACTGCGGCAGACGCGTTTATGGACCTCGTCTCATCGATCGTGATGTTGACAACTTCACGAATGGCGGCTCGTCCCAAGCCCCACAAGTACCCAGTCGGCCGGCGCCGGATCGAGACCGTGGGAATCATCCTCTTCTGCGCCTTGATGACAACAGTCGCGATCCAGTTGATCATTGAGTCGGGCCGGGCTCTGGGAAGCGGCGACACCGACAGCAGCGAGGAGCTGCACATTATCCCTCTGATATTCGTAGGAACCGCCATCTTCTCAAAGTTCTGCCTGTTCTGCTACTGTTTCTGGCTCCGACGGTATCCAGCCGCACGGATATTTTTCATCGATCACCGGAATGATTTGGCCGTCAATGTTTTCGGTCTGGTCATGTCCATCGTTGGCGATAGGTTTGTTTGGTACCTCGACCCCGTCGGCGCTATCTGCATTGCGCTCCTGATCCTCGTCTCTTGGGTATCCACTGCGTTTGAAAACGTCTGGTTGCTGGTGGGCAAGGCTGCACCCAGAGAGTTCGTCAACAAGTGCATCTATGTTTCACTTACGCATGATGCCCGCATCCAGAAAGTAGACACCGTAAGCACCCCACCCCTATTTCCACAGGCTCCTGTATCCACTGGCCACTGTGGGTTTATCGTTCATAGCTCCCTTTATCCTCCTTCTATCAGCACGTTAACGTGTGATGCCTCTGTTGTTTAGTGTCGAGCGTATCATTCTGGCGAGCTCTACTATGTCGAAGTAGATGTTATCATGGACCCAACCACTCAGCTTAAGGACTCACACGACGTGAGCCAGGCCTTGCAACGAAAACTTGAAGGTTTAGCAGCTGTAGAACGGGCGTTCGTCCATGTTGATTATGAAGATGATCATAATGTGCATGAGGAGCACAAGCCGCTATTCGATCCTGCGACCTATCGGCAACCACGAACACTGAAGGAATGGTTGAAAGATATGGTGCAGCGGCGATAAACTGAACAATGCACCAAGTTTTGTGTGGGAAAGCTCCCAGCGAAAACTCTTTCTTTTTAGCGAATCGATTGGGTCTCTGCGATGGCTATGGATGGCTCGCATGCCGGCTCCTATGACTTCTCTCCTAATGATAGAATACTCGCAAAGATTAATGCACCTCAGAGCCGCTGATCCATCCCTAACCAGCACTGGATTCTGGGAACATCATGTGTGGTTTTATTCAAAGTATTTGCGTGCTTACTGCCTGGAGTACACAAGGAGCCTCAACATTCTCTGGAATAAAGCGGGCCCTCTCAGTGCCCCCCTCTGTCGTCGTCTCCTGCCTCCTGTCCTTTGGACTGATCTTCATTCATCACGGACGAGGTAAAACCCTGAGAACTCTTCCAGTTCAAGGCCTATTTTAACGTTGCTGTCACGGATCCCTTCAGACACATTTGACAGCTCTTTTATTATTTGATATAGAACGGGTATTACTGGCCAGAGAAGTATACGGCCGTTTTGCGTTTGCAATGCCCCTACCTGCCCAGCCATCATGGTCCCCAGCAAAAAAAATTGTTGATATGCCCTTAATTTTATTTCTATGCTTCCGAGTCTTCAGTAATAATTTTGCTTTGTACTCCGTACGGAAATTAAAAGCCCAGAATATAGCAAATGAATCGGGTCACCAACATGCTGATAGAGGACTGGTGTGCTAAGGGCCCTTCCCTAAGCCAGCCAACCCTAACCGGAGCTGAGCATATGTATGGCGTTTCGAATATAGAGGCTCCTGTACTCCGTATATGGTCACTGCCATCGCTATGCAAAAACCTTCCGGCCTAAGGGCTTAACGTTTGGGCTTGAAGGGCAAAATTAAAAAAAAAAAAATAAAAGAAAAAAATAAAAATTATTCCGTAAATCGAAAATGAATGCACATACAGAGTACGAAGTATGGAGGACGGAGTAGAACCAAAACTGATTATTTGGGAGCACAAATCAAGGTTTGTGACTTGTCAACAGGTTTGCTCAGACCTGTGGTGCCCAAACAATGTGGCGGTTCGCTCTGTGCTTGCAAGTGTTTATCATGCAAGATCAACACAAAGTGAAGCCTTTGTTGTCTTGGACACAGGTGAGAGGTAGCTTGCAGCTTCATGCTTGACCAGGCACCATGTATGTAGCCCTTCAAGCTCAGGATTCCTTCTCGGCTGCATCCAAAGGTTCAAAGAAGCAGTGCTTCCGGTCCATAAGTGCATGCCCTGGGAACCAAAAGAGGCGCGTCTCTGGAATGCGCGACACGGAGGTCCTGGTCCTGGCCCTCAAAACACATGGACTGTTCCCGCTACTACAGTGTTGTCGAAAGCAACCCCGCGTTAAAGTGGACAGGAAGTCATTGAGGCGAGCACAGTGTTACTCCCTGGTTACAGGGTAAAGCCACTTGGTTTCCGCACCCAACAGCTTATTGATGTGTCTTTCTCGAACATGCCGGAAGCAGAACTCTGTAAATGGAGAACGGCGACTGCAAACATGGCTGGAATGAGGTAACTCTGCTGGATGCAGGTATGTGTGACTTGAGTGTTGGGGTCCGATAGTTACTCCGTAGAAACTAGGGTGTTTTGGGACTGGGCCCCAGGTTAGCAGCCTGTTCACCCCTGGTTCATGAAACAACCTTGATCTCGGTCGCACACAGCTGCCTGTCCTTGTCGTTGCACAAGCATCTGGAGCCTTCGCGTCTTCATTTTTCTTCTTTCTTCTTTGATTCTTCTTTTTTTTTCACTCCGTGTCATTTATTGCCAATACACCTATCTAATCTCTTATTTTGAGGACCAGTGCTACCGAGAGCAAGCTCCAAAGGTTACGTGTCTCCTTTCAACAGCTCCTATCCACAATGCGTCTCTCCTCGACCCTCGTCCTGCTTCCAGCGCTTGCTGCAGCGCAGAATCAATTTCCATTTGCAGAGCAACTGCAAGGACTGATAGAAAAAGCGAAGTCTTTCCTTCCGACCGCTCCGGCCGTTGCTACGCCCCCGGAACAGTCCGCTGCCCCTCCAGTTGTACCCAAGAGAAAGAAGGACGTGGCCTCCGTGAAGTTAAGCAATTGGCAATCACTACTTGCGCCTGTTCCGGCCGACGCGTCACAAGAAGCGCGAGAATGGCTCGTCTATGTCACTGGAGGGAACAAGACGTGTTTCGGGCGTTGCGGACCTGCAGACAAAGCCTGGAATGTGAGTTTCCCTCCCCCCCCTTTTCTTTTTTCCCCGTCTGTAACAAGTTCACTCGAAATTTTTCCAACCCCAATAATACTGAACTATGCTATGACCTATTAGGAGTCGATTCCTCTATTTGCGACGGACCTTACCTCCCCTTCCCTGGGTGTTCTTGACTGCGAGAAGGAAGCCATACTTTGTTCCATTTGGTCTGCTGGTGCCCCTTCACTGTGGTACTTCCAGATTCCCGTCGCCCCAGAGGCCGAGCAGCCTAAACCTGCCACTTCGATCCACACTTTGCACGTGAACGTTACCACAGTCACGGCGGAAGACATCTACAAGGTCCATTCCGAGAAACGCTGGGAGAAGGTCCCCGCGTATGAGGGTGCCTTTCACCCGATGGATGGCTGGCTCGCCCAGTACGGTCTTAATGTGGTTATTGGCTACATCGTTTTCGGAATCGGCCAGGTCCCGAGTTGGCTTATGATGGTTGGTGTTAGTTTCATCAGTCGATCGATGATGTAAGTTTAACGACATATTCGTTGTTTTGTTCGCAGTTGCTTACACCACCTAGGAGCCGCCGACTTGGTCCACAGCAGCAGCAACAGCAACGGAGAGCAGCTGCTGCACCCCAGGCTGCAGGAACGCAGTGAACGCGCTTTGCTCTTTTCCCTGAAAAAAATTGGTTCTTTTCCTTTTTTTCCCCAACCTCTACGGGTTACGAATCTCCGGTTCTTCGAAATGTTTTGCGATGCTCGATTGTAGATAATGAGGATTTGGACTGGATGAAAGCCACTTTATATCAATGATTAATTGGAGGGGCTAGACTTAACTATGTGATTTCTTCATGTATGTATTTGTTAGTTTTCAATGGAGTTCACGAGTATGTGATCATCTTTCTCGACATTCAGGCCTCATCGCGCTACGGAGTATGGGATATAAAAGTTGGAAGCAGAGCAATACTAAATAAAGAATTAAAAAAAAAAAAAGAAAAAAAAAGTATATATATATATATATATATATATATATTCACCTATAGAAATGACTTGGCCGAGTTGAAACAAAAGTACTGTTTATACCCCGTGCTCAAACTGCAGGACATCATCAGAACCACACGCGACCAAGGTTCGATTCGGACAACCTTCCCTCAAAGTTTAACCTTCCACCCTCATTCGATACTCCGGCTGTACAGTACTCCGATTTCACGCGTTTCCATTCACTTTCAGCATTAAAATACTATGGTCTCACCCTCCATGTCGCCAATGGAGCGGCCCCCGCCAACGACGACGGCGATCGTGATCGCGACAGCTATTTTGGCAGGCGTCGCGGGATATTTTATTGGCCAAGGAGCATCCATAGGGCTTTTCGGGTCGGCGCCTGTTTCGCACCGACGCGCGCCTGCGGTGAAGGATGTCTCTGAAGACGAAGAGAACGACGAGGAGGAGCTGGAAAGTGAGGATGAGGGAGGTGAGCTTGCAACGTTCGAAGGCAATGCAGAGGAGGTGAAGCTTGTTCTGGTGGTGAGAACGGATTTGGGCATGGGGAAAGGTGAGGATTTTCATAAGTAGCCTGACCTTTCTTTTTTCTTTTCCTTTTTTTTTTTTTTTTTTTTTTTTTTGCTATGGTTTTATCTAGGATTCGCCTCTCGATTTACCTTGTACAAACATTTAGAATAGAGGCATCTCGCTCGCCATCTTTCTGAGGGTTTTGCTTTGGCGGCGTATCGTTTGTCTTCTGCTTTCTTGACAGCGTGCTGACTCGTCACGGCTTGTTCTTCTCCAGGCAAAATCGCCGCTCAGTGCTCCCATGCTACGCTCGCTTGCTACAAATACTATTTCTCCAAGGCTCCTGACTCGCCTATTCTCAGACGCTGGGATAGAGGTGGTCAGGCCAAGGTTGCGCTTCAGGTGAAGAGTGAGGAAGACATGCTACTCCTGCAGGCGCAAGCACTAAGCTTAGGATTGTGTGCTCGGGTAATACAAGATGCTGGACGGACACAGATCGCGAGCGGCAGCCGGACAGTTCTAGGAATTCTGGGACCGAAAAGTGTTGTTGACAGTGTCACGGGCCATTTGAAGCTACTGTGATGGGTGCTCTTCTTTTTCAAGAGAACATTCTTGATAATCTGTTAGACACGGGCGTTTGAGGGAGTACAAAACCACGGGAAAGAGCTGTTTGGGATAGGAAAGGTTTTCTTCAAACTTGTTTTCATTGACTATATAAAATGTGTGGCTGTATATATGGGTTTTGCGCATGCAGCAAACATAGAATTTCAGGCCCATCAAGGCCAGGGCCCTTCATACATGAAAAGCAAACTCATTTCGTCGCAAGCGTTATGGCTAAGCGAATCAATTCACAGAGGAGACAAAAAAGGTATGTTGGCTGCCATGGTTTTTCCCTAACCTCATCAGCCGACGGCCTAATCCCATAAAGGGATGTATCGGTGAAGGGAGGTGGAATATGGCGTCTTCAGCATATCAGGCCATCTCACCGAGCTCACCAAATGGGAGCTCAAGGCAGAGTGTACTCCTGACCGCTGCATCTCAATCTGAGATCTGTCGACCGGAAATTGACACCATGAAATTTAAATAGTGATGGCTCCATAGGTCGTCGAACTGTCCAGAATCAACCGAAACACAGCCGCAGACCACCACGAATGGTGGTCGACCGCTGGAACAGGATTGCTGGGCACAGATCTGTGGTTTGGTTGAGGAAAAGAAAGGAAAAAAAGGAAGAGAAATCAAAGAAGAAAATTTTGGCCTTTATTCTGCCGGCGGAGAGTTTTCGGGACGGGAGAATTTTGATCCGCTGATCTAGTTAAGTAAGCAGGCTGCCGAAGCTTAGTGATGGCTGGCCGAGACCGTGCTGGTATTATTTGCCTCATGCCAGGCGCGGGCGTACAGCATAGCTCTGCTCTACCTTCTCAACGACCTAACAGTTAATCGCTGAAGTCTGCGACGCTTTACAGCATGGCGGACGCATTGTCCATTGAACAAAATAACAAAATTCGGGTCGCGCTTGGTCTGAAGCCTCTCCCTGTCCCCGGCGCCTCGAACGAAGATGATGGCCCCGTTTTCAAGCCATCCAAAGGCGATGAAGGGTCGAGCTCCGCGGAAGATGAGCCTGGTAGCACACTAGAGTCTCGAATTGCTCAAGGATACGATAACTGGAAGACCCTCCAGGATGAAGAGGAAGCAAAGAAGAAGCGCCAGGCCAGAAATGAAGCCATCAAACGGGCCAGAGAGGCGGCGCAGCGGATGGCGAAGTTGGAAGGCAAGGGCCTAGGAGAGGTTGATGACAATTTGGATACCAAGTCATGGTTAATGCAGCATAAGAAAAAGCAGAAAAAGATCGAGAAAGAGCGCGCACGAAGGTTGGCGGAGGAGCTGGCTGAGCGAGAGCGAATGGCAGAGTATACTTCTAAAGATCTGGCGGGTGTTAAGGTGGCACATGAAATCGGTCAGTTCGATGAAGAGGGGGAACATATTCTCACTCTCAAGGACACAACGATCGATGAAAATGAGGAAGAAGGGGATGAGCTGGAAAATGTCAATTTGAGGGATGTCGAGAAGACAAAAGAAAGGCTAGACTTGAAAAAGAAAAGGACTGCCTATGACCCCACTGACTACGATGGTTCGGGGTCGATACTGGCACAGTACGATGAAGAGATTGAAGGGAAGAAGAGGAGACATTTCACACTGGATGCAAAGGACATCACGCCCGAAGAAAGGGAAGCGAAACGACAAGATGTTACATCGAAGCTGAAAACTGGCATGGTCAATCTCGATGTTGTACAGGACACCATGCCTTCTGATTATCTCGATATCTCTGAAATTAAAGTCAAGAAGCCCAAGAAGAAGAAGGCAAAAAGCACCCGACGAAAAGCAGTTGACGAGGAAGAAATATTTCCTCTACCTGATACTACCGAGACGTCTACAGCTGGTCAATCCAACGGAGACCAAATGGATGTTGACCGTGCAGAGGGAGAAGGTAGCTCGACCCCTGCCGTCCAGAAACGGCCTCGTGAGGATATATCTTTCGTCGACGATGAAGATCTACAAGCCTCTTTAGCGGCGCAGAGAAGGGCAGCGTTCAAGAAGCGAAAGAAGATGCGGCCAGAAGATATAGCCAGACAACTTAGAGAAGAGTCTGAGCAAGCCGCTAACGGGATGGATATTGATACGAATGAGGACGATCAGCCTGGTTTGGTCATTGATGAAACCTCTGAATTCGTCGCCAATTTGCAACGACCAACAATTCCAGAGCGCCGGCACAGACCTACAAGTGAATCAGCAGGAGAAGAAGTGCGCGCGGAATCACCGCCTATAAATGTGAAGGAGGAACTTGAAGACATGGATATAGACCGATCGTATGGCGATATTGAAGATGAAGAAGAACTGAAGGAGCGGCGCGAGGGCTCACAGCCCAATATTACCACAACTGGATTGGAAGAAGAGAGCACCCTAGATCAAGGCCTTGGGGCTACGCTGGCTATGTTAAGGCAGCGTGGTCTCGTCAAGGAATCGGAAGCTAGCGGTCTCAATTCTCTTCAGCGTGACCGCCAGAAGTTCTTGCTCAAGAAACGACAACGAGAAGCCGAGGCAGAGAGGCGCGCAAGAGCTCAACGCGAGCGGGATCGTGCATCTGGGAAACTCGATCGTATGTCAGCACGAGACAGGGAGGAGTATGCCCGGTGGGAGAACAAGCAGCGCGATCAGCAGGAATCCCGTTCGATGGCGGAAATTTTCAACCGCGAATACAAGCCCGATGTTCAGTTGAAGTATGTGGATGAACATGGCCGCTTGATGAATCAGAAAGAGGCGTTCAAACATCTGAGCCATCAGTTCCACGGTAAGGGCAGCGGAAAGATGAAGACGGAGAAGCATTTGAAGAAGATTGAGGATGAGAAGAAACGAGAGGCGATGAGTACGCTTGATAGCAGCCAGCATACTGGTATGAACAATGCAATGGGGGCCACTGCACGGCGAACAAGGCAGGCTGGCGTTCGACTTGCCTGAACGACGCCGTTCCTGTCGAAGGGTTGTCAAGGAGAGTGGGTTGGGAATTTAATTATCGAGGACCTTTGGCGTTTCCTTGCTATCGCTTGTTACAAACCCAAGCCTGATAAATGGATTTCCTGCTGTTACATGGACAAAGTCCGCCCCGGTCATTTACTGCGCTTGTCATCCAATTCCCACTGTTATGGAATGGACACATGTCTGGCATCATCCGTCCATCGCTGGACTAACCGTGAATGTAAATGTCTCAATAGATATGATGATGATGTGGAGATACCCGAAGTAAGCCCTTTTGTTACTTTATCAATAATGCGCATAGCCTGTACTATATGGTAGAATCTCTACAGGTGTACCTCAGTCATGTCCCAGGCGGCTTCTATTCTTCTCTCGTGTCCATCGACATGGATTTTTGGGTGGCGCGAATAGCGGCTGCAACGATCAGGCGATTGATAATCAGACCATTTGTGATCTCGCATTCCATGATACGCTAAACTCAAAGTAGTTAATCTACGGCAGAGACACAGAATCAGATGGATGACTCAGCAGGTGGAACATGCCAAGCCATATCTTACGTACTCCAACGGCGACTTCAGCCTGCCTTCGGATCGTCATCCAGCACAGCGAATCTTGTCAGCCAGAATCCCCCAAGTTGGCCGACGTCGCTCGACGTTGAAACGACCTTTGCGAGTCAGCTCGACGGAGTGGCTACCCGTTTTGCCGGATTGACGATGAATCCCTGTTCTCGATCCCGTCGAGTCAGCGTTAATTGTCGAACTACCAAAGTCAGGCCGTGACCCCCCCAGTTCGCCGCCACCACACTCGCTACGACGAAAATTACCCGGCTGGCTTTGGAGGAAAAAGGGAACGCGCCAGACGACGGGGATTAGGCTTGTTAAATATTGCGGGAGCTCCCCTCCAACAAGGTCACTGCCGTTGTTCGGATAAAAACAAGACTACTGAGATTTAGCCATTGCCATGGCTGCAGATGATGACCAAAGGCACGATGGTAGACTTGCACCGGGATTACCGAGCCGCCAATCTTCCAGATCACCTCTGAGAAATTCAACAAGCGGCGACGAAGGGAATAGCGATACACAGGAGGAGCAAATATTATTGCAAGATTTAGGGGCATACGGTGCTCCCGAGGATGCTCGAGTGGGCCCAGTGGAACCTACCGATTCGCAAAGTTCTGCTGCAGAGCAGACTAGGAGGGCTTCAGATATAGAAGCCACAACTTTCCGCAGACCCTCGCAGCGTGTTCGATTCTCCACGGATATAGAGCGTACCTCTGAAGCTGATTCCGGCCACGATACTCTCGGGGAGTTGGGAGACCGTCCTACTAGTCGCGGCAGCCGCTTTGCCGCTTCTGGGCTTACCGTTGGGACGGAAAACATACCGCTTTCGTCCCATCCCGCTCGATTGTCTCCTAGAAGCGCTGAGAACCCCCCTCGCGTCTCCCCTGGCCCTGGCGGCTCTCCTTCACCTGCCGTGACATCTCCAACGTCTCGTAGCCGAGGATATTCACTCCGACGTTCGCTCTTCAATCGGAATCTCCAACAGGGTACTTCGCCGGTAAGAGATACGTCTACTAATCCAGGACATATTGCCATCGACGGAAGTGTCACGGCCAAACATACGCGGTCGCACAGCGGCTCGTCCAACAAGAATGGAGTTATTGAAGTTGCGCGAGTATCATCCAGTAGCAGGGAAGATGATTCTGCATCTGCCTCAGAGGAAGCGGACACGCTCAAAAAAGTCCGTACATCCCGCTTACCTGGCTCCGTCGACCAATGGGCGATGAAATGGAGATTCGTCGATTGGATCATGGTATGGTTTGAATCATTTGGTACCGCATTTCAAGAGCATGTCCTTCGAATCAAGCCAATTCCACCAAGTCAAGATGGGAGGCATATCGACCTGGATGTCCACCGGACCGAGCCCCTCATTGATGAGCGAACTGGGAAGCACTATATAAGCAACTACATTCGGTCAAGCCGATATAGTTTATGGAGCTTCTTTCCCAAACAACTCATCGCCCAATTCTCAAAACTTGCAAATTTCTATTTCCTCATTGTTGCTATTTTACAAATGATACCCGGTCTAAGTACGACTGGTACTTTTACCACATTCGTTCCATTAATGATTTTTGTTGGAATTTCTATGGGCAAGGAAGGGTTTGATGATTTTCGTCGTTATAGACTGGATAAGGAGGAGAACAATCGGATTGCTTGGGTCCTCCGCCCCGGTAATCCGGATGAAGATGCACCGGAAACCCCACTAAATAGATCTGAACCAAAGGTGGAAAGACCAGAACCCTGGGCACCGACAAAGTGGATCGACATTCAAGTGGGCGATGTCATTCGGCTGGATCGCGATCAGCCTGCCCCTGCTGATATAGCACTTCTGCACGCTGAAGAACCCAATGGAATCGCCTACATCGAAACTATGGCGCTTGATGGCGAAACAAATTTGAAAAGCAAAAAGCCGAGTATTCCTGTTGCAAAGACTTGTGCCACCATTGAAGACATCATCTCAAATAAGTCTATCCACTTCGCCGTGGAAGATCCGAATATTGACCTCTATAAATTCGACGGTAACGTCGCGGTCGGGGCAGAGAAACTGCCCTTGACCAACAATGAAGTTATCTATCGTGGGAGTGTTCTTCGCAATACACATGAAGCGATTGGTCTGGTCATCTATACCGGAGAAGAGTGCAAGATTCGAATGAACGCCAACAAAAACCCGCGAATAAAAGCACCTGCTCTTCAAGCTGTTGTGAACAGAGTTGTAGCGGTGATTGTCCTCTTCGTTGTTGTCCTAGCTTCTGCCTGTACGATTGCTTATCGCTTCTGGTCTCACGATTTTGAGAGCATGTCCTGGTATCTTGAGGAGGCCAAAGTTTCTTATGGTCCAATCTTTACTTCGTTTATCATTATGTTTAACACCATGATTCCGATCTCCCTCTACGTCAGTCTCGAAATCGTCAAAGTTGCCCAAATGTTTTTACTAAACGATATTGACATGTACGACGAGGATTCGAATACTCCTCTGGAAGCGAGAACCTCCACCATCAATGAGGAACTCGGTCAAGTTAGGTGAGCAGTAGTCAATCACGTACTTTACAACAGAAAATGCTGATGATAAGGATTACAGTTACATATTCTCCGATAAAACGGGCACATTAACAAACAACTCCATGCGCTTCCGCAAAATGAGCGTAGCCGGGACAGCCTGGCTTCATGACACTGATTTAAACGAAGATGCGGAAGGCAAAATGCTTCTGCATAAGAAGAGAAAGGGCAAGAAAGTAGCCGGCAGAAAGTCTGTCGCGGATGAGGCCACAAGAATGTCCCGATTGTCCAGGCCTTCCAATGTCTCAAATAGTAAAGACCGGACCGGCACCTCACCTTCACGATGGAAGTCAAATAGGCGGAATAGGCAATACCACGGTGGACGAACAACTGAAATGATGCGCTATATGGAGCAGAAACCCCACACATTGTTCGCGAAAAAAACAAAACTATTCATTCTGGCCATGGCCCTGTGCCACACTTGTCTTCCGGAGGAGACTGAAGATGGAGACATCTCGTTTCAGGCCGCCTCGCCAGACGAAGTTGCATTGGTCCTTGCTGCTAAGGAGCTTGGGTATGTGGTTGTAGAAAGACAGCCAAATAGTATAACCATACGGAAACAGTCTGTTGGTTCCGATGAGGATTATGTTGATGAAGTTTACGAAGTTTTGGATGTCATCGAATTTTCAAGCAGCCGGAAACGAATGTCGATTGTGATACGTCTACCGGATCAACGAATTTGTATCTTCTGTAAAGGTGCAGATTCAATTCTAATGAAGCGACTCAAACGCTCTGGTTTGGCGGAAGAAAAGGTCACTGAGATCGAGAGGCGAGCGAGTGTGAGGAAGAGTATGGAGGCTAGGGAGGTGATGAGACGTAACAGTGAACATCAAGCCAGGAAGGACATCAAACGATCCAGTTTGAGTATTAGGCGTCCCAGCTTTGTTGGCGGGCGGAGATCGAGCGTGTCTGGGATGCCACGCTCCGCGCTTCGGGATAGTATTGACATGTGGTTACGAGATCGTGAGACTGACGGCGGAATGGATCTTCGAGTCGATGGAAATGAGCATTATAGCCCGCGCCCATCTGCCCAGTTCGGTGGGCGAGGTTCTCTTGCCTATTCTGATGGTCGGCTTTCATTTCAAACCGATGATGGCGAAGACCTAGTTGAAGAGGCTCTTGTTGTCAACGAAGCCCAAGTTTTCGAAAGATGTTTCCAACATTTGAACGATTTTGCGACGGAGGGCCTGCGAACACTCCTTTATGGATACCGATATATCACTGAAGCCGAATACAAAGAATGGAAAACGCAGTACCATGACGCCATAACTAGCTTGTTCAATCGCCAGGAGAGGATTGAAGAAGTAGCAGAGCAAATTGAAGATCAGTTTGAACTTCTGGGTGCAACTGCCATTGAGGATAAGCTCCAAAAGGGTGTGCCAGAAGCTATTGACAAATTGAGACGGGCTAATATCAAGTTATGGATGCTCACTGGCGACAAGAGAGAGACTGCTCTCAACATTGGACATTCTTGTCGCCTGGTAAAGGATTATTCGTCTGTTATAACCATCGATCATGAAGCTGGGAACGTCGAGCAAATCATAACCTCCACAGCATCTGATATACAACTTGGCAACGTGGCTCATTCAGTTGTTGTTGTGGACGGTCAGACGCTTTCTGTTATTGAAGCAGATCCGGTTCTTCAATCTCTTTTCTTCGACCTCGCCATCCTTGCCGACTCTGTGATATGCTGTCGTGCAAGCCCGAAACAAAAAGCATTCCTCGTCAAAGCAATCCGAAAACGGGTAAACAAATCTATCACCCTAGCGATCGGGGATGGTGCAAACGATATTGCGATGATTCAGGAAGCCCACGTTGGTATTGGAATAACTGGAAAAGAAGGGCTCCAAGCCGCTCGAATCTCAGATTACTCGATTGCTCAGTTTAGATTCCTACTCAAGTTACTACTTGTTCACGGTCGGTGGAATTATGTCCGCGTCTGCAAATATACCTTGGGTACATTCTGGAAGGAAACTTTATTCTATCTGACGCAGGCTCTTTATCAGCGTTGGAATGGTTATACCGGGACTAGCTTGTATGAGCCTTGGGCTTTGAGTATGTTTAATACTCTCTTCACGTCTCTACCGGTCATCTTTCTCGGAATTTTCGAAAAAGACCTCGCTGCTTCGACTCTGCTTGCAGTTCCCGAGCTGTACACAAAGGGCCAACTGCGCAAGGGTTTCAATATCAAGTTGTATCTTGGATGGGCATTTATGGGAACCTGCGAAGCGATGATTGTCTACTTTGTTATGTATGGGCTGTGGGGTACAGCCCCCATCACCAATGACAACGGCGTATTCGCCATGGGTCTGCTTACGTACTCGGCTGCCGTGGTTATCATATCGGTGAAGCTCCAGGTGCTTGAGATCCACAACCATTCCGTGATGGCTGTGATTTCCACCGTGCTTTCTATCGGTGGTTGGTGGCTGTGGAACGTCATCCTATCAGAACGCTACGAGATCGACGAGATTTACAACGTCCGCGACAATTTCCTCATTCGCACCGGGCGGGATCTCCTTTGGTGGACGACGCTCCTCCTCTCTATCGTCGCTGTAATCCTGTTCGAAGTTGCCGTCAGCACGGTGCGAGCCACCCTCTTCCCGACAGACGTTGATATCTTCCAGGAATACGAGCAGGATCTTGAAATCCGGAAACGCTTCGAGGAAGCCGCCGCCATGGAACTGCAGCAAGGATGGGATCGTGGAACCAAGAAAACTAGCGTTGAGCTGGAGCGCGAAGCTGCGATTGAAGCGGCGAGAGAATTACAGGTTCAAGAATTGCTCGATCGACGGAATAATGAGGAGGAGGTTCTCATTGGCAAGGGAGCGGCCACGGCCTCCGGAGCTCGCCGTTCCGGTGACCAGATGGAGGACATAGATCTCGGCGATGGAGAATGCCGCGGAAGCTCGGCTGGACCACGTCGCTCGTTGGACATTAATGAATTATTTAGTAAGGGGTTTGGAGCGATCCGGAAGGGACCGGATCTAAGATGATCTCCTACATCTCAGCTACTTCTCTGTGGAGCTGCTGTGTATCCTCTTTTCGGGCGCCTCTCCCTTGAAGGCGAGCTCCTCGTTCTCCCAACTCTTGCGTATCTTTTTTTTTTTTTTTTCGGTAAAGTTTCTCTTGTCTACGGTCAACGCTGAATGTGTTGCATGACCTTTGATGGCTTTCATGCTCTGTTCTCATACAACCGAGATTGTATATATTACTCACCCTCCTTGTCGTGCCCCCAATTTGCACATATTTCTCTCACTCTATTTCTCCCCCTCACCCCCCCATTTCTACATCCTCACTTAAACACCCCTTTCAGCTTTCCAGTCCTTCAAGAGTCAACATGGTGAGAGCTCGGAAACTCTTGGGAGACAAAGTCCTTTCCCTTCCCCCCCAACAGGTATCCCTGAAGATGCATCACCTGACATTCCAAATCTGACGCCGGTGTCTTACATGTTTCTGTTATAGGGTCCGCCACTCATGCAGGCCTTAGACCCTCTTTCACCAGGGCCCTAAACCGACATGTATCTTCACATCCCCCCAAGGTTCCACTCTCCCCTGTATATAGATGGTATTGTTTTATGATATCCCTGTTTCGTTGATTGGTTGAAATAATAACTTTTTTTTTCTTTTTTTTGGTCCTTGGATTCCCTTTACGTTTTTGGATGCATCGTCGCCACTTCGATGATTCCCTGCTGTTTATGCGAGGATTCCATAGGCAGAAGAGTAGGTAGATAGGGTGAAACAACTGGTGCTTTCTTATGTAATATGTGTTATACATCTGGTTGGGGAGAGATGATGATACCGTCGATGATGTTGTTGAACCGGATAAGAGACGAATTGGTCAGGCATCGGAGTGTCCGGTGCGGTGAGTGGGTTGTCCGCCTTTTGGCCTTTTTGGAAGCTCTCCATCCCAGGTTTATTTAGTTAAGCACAACCCAAGCATCCCTGATAATGGCGTATGTTTCAGACATATTTCAGAGTGCCTAATTTAAATAGGGCTCTTTTTCCCACTCTTTCAAGATTTAGCAGCAACCTTCGAGAATGAAGTACTCCGTATGGAGAAGCTTTCCTTGAGCACGGACTTTCTCGGCCCCCTTGCTACCACGTACTTAATAGCTGAGTGTCTTAAGTGTGAGACGAGAGAGCATGGGCAATTTCGGCGTCATTGTCAGCTTGACTCGCGGCCAGAGGTAAGGTCCAGATTTTTTTTTCAACTTATTCCGTTCGGGGAAACGAAGCCGGTTTCCCAGCGAACTTTTCCATCCAGTGTACATACGTATGTAGAGTACGTCTCGCCGCAAAGCGATATACGATGCCCCTTGACGACTATTAAGGGCAAAGATGATTCGCATTTCCAACTTCTCTCTTCGTTAGTTGACTAGTCAGATGACGATGAAGACAGCCAACATCCCCAAAATTATTAGGTAAGTGGTTGACCAGGGGCCCCAGGCCGGGGTACATAGTCTATTTCCAGGGTTGCTGGGGTGAAACGGTTTCAATTTCGCTTGACTCGGGTCCCTCTCTTTGAAAGGTGGAAAATCTAGAAATTCCTGCGATGGGATGGTATGCGTGGCGAATTACATTGTCTTACTCCGCACAGAGGACAGAAGACTGACTCACTTGCAAGATCACGCCATGAGATTGAGCGAGGAGTTTCATCAGCCGCATGTTGGGATACATTTGTGATGCAGGCATGCATGCATGCAAGCGTGCTAACACGCTGCATGCGGGTGATTGCCCTTGCAGAACTGCTTGAGTACCCGCGTGTACCTGCTTCGGGAACCGACTGTTGATGGGCCGTGGCTAAGGCTGGCAAGCGAATCAGTTCTTACAGGTTGATAGGGGTCAAATCGTGTTCGTTAAAGATGGCTACATTTGAGTTGATATACGGAGTAGTCAGCGTGTAATTACCTCCTTGAGCCATCGAATACTGCTCTTGTGCGACGATAAGGGCCACGGGGCTAATCCGCGATAGCCGCTCAATATTTCTTTCGCCAATCTATGCTCAGAACTGAAGAAACCCTGAAATTGGCCCAAAAGCTGAAGGAGGACTCGGGAAGTGGTTCATTGATTGTTTGGAAAAGGCAACTTTTTTAGGGGGAGCAGTTATCTATTGACGTAGTGGCATTTTGAACTTTGGTCTGACTTGATTTTGCGGCCAGTTTGAGTCAGTCCTTGTCATGGAGACGGAAAACGCGCCGGGACTATGTCATGGAAATGAAGTTAAAGCGCATGAGCAATGATCGACACGGCGACGGCATATCGTGAAATTGTTTTTTTCCTCTTCGCATTGACCATCAGCTAAAGAGATAAAGCATTACATAGGAAGTGGGGAGACAGTTCTCATAACACATATGTAGGAAAACGGGTTGGTTAACTCACTAGTCTCGGGCTCTCGTCGCGATTTCGAGGTTGGTAGGATTTTTTCTGGAATATCGCGAGGGCTTGTCTTGTACCACCTCGCCAGCTCATGCTTTCACTCCTTTCCGCACCCCTTTTGGCGTGCAACATTTGCTTTTTATTCTGTTTCTCAGCCTTGTGGAGCCGATTTACCTTCATTTGGCGGTTTCGCTTGGAGTCATGAGACTACGCTACAGAGAAACATGGACATGGGGACGTGCTAAAAATCGGCAACAGGACTACGCTCTAACTCGGAGCGGGAGCCACGAAAAAACACGAAAAGAGAAGATGCTTCCCAAAAGTGTTGCTTCTAATAATAGCACACTATAGCGGCCCTCTCCGGAGTTGGACGGATGGCAAGCCAACGCGTCTTCCCGCATGATTTCCGGGTTAGCCAAGGCGAAAGACGTGTTCAAGCCTCGCCCTTTTCTTAAAGTTGGGACGATTCTTCACAGAAACGTCTCTCGCATGTCGATGCGGAGGTGGTTTGAGATCTCTCTCAAGAAAACTTCCAGCGCCTTTCGCGGCATCCCCTGCATATACGAGACGAACAGGAATGCTGCAGGCAACACGACGACTCGGGCTATGTGTTGTGCCTGAAGTTTCTTTTCCGTTATATTTCATGACCCCCTTGTAATAATAGGCAAGATTGTCCCGAGCGAGAAACGTGGGGAAAGACGTGTCCGCCTTTGAGGAATTTTAGCCAAGGTATGTAATAATTCGGGTGCTTGGCCAGGACTCAGCACGGTTTTGTTAATCGAAGGCTGGAAGCTTCGAGATCCAGTCTGCAATTTCGAAAGTTAGCCAATCACCGACTACTTTCGGTGCATATATCACCGCGGATATACATCGCCAGTGCGAGAATGGAATAATTTTCCTCGAACCCCTTCCCCCCAGTTTTAAGGGAACCACCTACGGAGTACTCAGTAAGGGTAGTTAATATTACGCCTTGCTATCGACAGGCTTGCTCTGCGATTGTGCTGCAATATATCTTTGTTTCAAGTAATAAACTATCGAGTCGAAAACACCAAGATTGACGGAGCTTTGAAAGGTTTCAAGAAAAGCTTTCGTAGCCGCGTGACACGGACCCTCAAGTCTGCAAATAAAGAGATGGAGGAAGGAAAAAGCTTTTCGATAGCAATTATATACGCACCTTTCGCTCTCGTCATGGGTAGCATTTTCCTAATTGTATGCGGGGAATGGATGGCTCCCTTCCCCCTGCATCACAACAGAAAACGGCCACTTGTCGTTCGCAGTCATCATGCGTGGAACCATTTATCGGAAGCGAGACTTCGGCGGATCATTGAATATAGCTCGAATTCCAAAGAAGAGAGCGGGGGTGTCGCAAAAGAATATGAGGAAGTTTTGGGTAGAAAATCTTTGGCCTTTTAGCCGCGGGGAGAGCAAATGTCTCATTATCCCTGCGAACGATGCTGGAAGCTTCATTTCAATATTTCTAGATTAGAGAGCCACCAGAACCGGGTTTAGCTTTGAGTGAAGAACGGTTCCCTCAGAAGATTGGCATTTTTTTGAAATGGACCCCCTCGCATCTGGTGGCCTTGTGATCAAAATCTCTAGCGGTTTCGCATGCGCAATGCAACCGAACCGGTGCAGGCCCAAAAGTCTTTCATCATACCAAATGGGGTGCGTGAAGCATGGTATGAGCTGCATGTCAGAGAAGAGAGGGGGGAAGAATCGCATGGTACGCAGGGCTTGTATGTACCTGTTTCCAAATTGGCGCGAATTGAATCAATTGATGGGGTGTTTGCTTCTCATCTGAGCGCTATGAATAGACAAACGCACCCCTGCATATGCGGTGTCAGTTTTTTTCTTCTTCATCCATTATCTTAGGGCAGATCAATAGGAGCTTTGTACTCCGGACGGAGAAGCTTCTTAAATATCCGAGAATTCGGGAGGTTGTACGGACTACTCCACAGCCGCATATGTGTGGGAAGGAGAGAGGAAAATGTCAAACCCAGCTCCCAGCAGCGATCATTCCTCGGGTCAAGCGGGGAGACGATGTTTCCAGATCTGTCGGTACGGGACACGGGGTCTGGGATATGGCCTTTGCCAGGGTGAGTTTCAAACATCCCCATGTGGGTACAGGGCGGACCGGATTTGGACGCCAGGAGTGGCAAACGGGGCGTGAACCATCGCCTGCAGGAGTCGAGTTGCTGCAACGGTGCAACCCCATGACTGCTTCGCCCATTCCCTCGTCTGTTTTGGCATTGACGGTCGATGCTCAGGCCGCGATAGCTGGCAAGACTCTCTGGGTATCGCTCTTGGCGGGGAGGGACCTCAAACGGAGCATGTCTCCGCACTCATGGCGGCATGGTACTTGGCTGTTTCTGGACGAGCAACGGTCTGGTGACGTCGTCCTGGATGAACTCGGTGAGACCACATTGTCTGATCGTCTGCATGAAGTGAAAGGCGAGGTCGAGGAGCAAGGATGGAGAGAGAGAGAGAGAGAGAGAAGGCGAGCGAGAGAGACGTCCAGTGCTGCCCCTCCTTCCCCCAATTTTTCCCTATAGTTCTCTCCTTCCCTTCTTGGGGTTGTTTAGGCAGTGTGATTAGTCATCATGATGCACGCACAAACAAACTTGGAAAGCGCATGCTTGTGGCGCCGCTAGTCCGGATCGGGTCCGCTGAGCAACCGAAAATGGCCAGGCACGCAGCCAATCAGCACGCGCGAACTCTTCGCTTAGGCGGAAGCTAAACTTAATCGGGCGCTGCAGATATTCCAATCAGAAAGCGCACCGTTGGGATCGAGCAGCCGCTAAGCCGGTTCGGGAAGGGTACCTGACGGCGCTAGTTCTGGATTGGGTAAGGTTTGGCTGTGCTGGCAGCGTCACAAAACACCACCCGTACGGCAGATGCACCCGGGATAATTACGCTAGGGTAGGAGGAGGAGTGACCTGGTGTGTCTTACACTCTGCAGTGTAAAGGAATGTACCACGTCTGACGGCAGGGTCTGGAAGGATACCGAAACAGGCCTAGCGGGGTATTTGAACGGTCCCCTGGGCGGTGTTTGGCTTGACCTCATCCGGGCTTGGCTGGGCTGTTTCGCCGTGACGCTCAGTCTCGCTGCAGCGTTGCTCTCTCTGTCTCTGTCTCTGTCTCTCTCTCTCTCTCTCTCTCTCTCTCTCTCTGTGTGTCTGTCTCTCTCCCTTCGCTCTCTTTCTTCTCTTTCTCAACCATCTTTTTTCT